GTGTGTGTGTGTGTGTGTGTGTGTGTGTGTGTGTGTGTGTGTGTGTGTGTGTGTGTGACGAAATGAATGCGCTCACGTTTCTCAGCAACCGCTCAACCGATTTGGACAAACTTGGCGCCAAATGATAGGTCTTGGGGTCCCATTGAACGCTATTGAACGGTTCCGGAGATATGGCCGGAATAAGATCGGGTGAATATGGGCCTTCACGCTGGATTTAACGGAATGTATGTATGTGAATAAGATCGGGTGAATATGGGCCTTCACGCTGGATTTAACGGAATGTTAACGCTATTGAACGGTTTTGGAATCGGTGAAGCGGTTCCGGAGATATGGCCGGAATAAGATCCGGTGAATATGGGCCTTCACGCTGGATTTAACGGAAAACGTATCAAAACCATCATATACCATTCGACTCAGCTCGACGAGATCGGAACATGTCTGTGTGTGTGTGTGTGTACGTGTGTATGTGAGTATGTGTGTGTGTATGTAAATGCGCTCACGTTTCTCAGCAACCGCTCAACCGATTTGGACAAACTCGGCGCCAAATGATAGATCTTGGGGTCCCATTGAACGCTATTGAACGGTTCCGGAGATACGGCCGGAATAAGATCGGGTGAATATGGGCCTTCACGCTGGATTTAACGGAATGTATGTATGTGAATAAGATCGGGTGAATATGGGCCTTCACGCTGGATTTAACGGAATGTATGTATGTGAATGCGCTCACGTTTCTCAGCAACCGCTCAACCGATTTGGACAAACTCGGCGCCAAATGATAGATCTTGGGGTCCCATTGAACGCTATTGAACGGTTCCGGAGATATGGCCGGAATAAGATCGGGTGAATATGGGCCTTCACGCTGGATTTAACGGAAAACGTATCAAAACCATCATGCGACACATCAAATTACTACAGAATTCAAAAATAATATCAATGCAAGTCGTGTTAAGTGTTCCAGACCACATTGGACACACTTGGACATGTTCCGGGTACCCCGGGGAAGTTGCTTGAATATGAATTGAATTAAAACCCATTAAATCACATTAAAATACGATGATAAGGTGATTGGTAGCCTCACCAAATAGACTACACCCGGATATATTCCGGGTACCCCCAGGCAGTGGCGTAGCGTCACTGGATGACACGGGGATGGGGGGCTTGGTCACTGATAATGACAATAAAATAAATAAACTTGAATAAGTAAGAAGGGTCTGGTCACACCATAGGTGGATAAATTCGGGTTTTTTTTTTTTGTTTAGAGCTTTATTAGCGAGATCAATATCTTTCTCGAAGCTCTCAAAACTTCTCTTAAGTGTTTGCGGTTCTCATGGAGCGTGTTGTACAACCATGAATTTAATTTAACTGTTCTAAAAATGTTTAAGCTTTCGTCAACTTCTGGATTTATGTGAAAACCTTCTCTGAAAATCAGGTAACTTCTAGAAATTTCCCGCTAATTTAGTGGAAACTGAACTCCCCTGAATTTCCCTTCGTTTTTTAGCTTTACTAAACTTTTTTGAGATGCTCCCGAAATGTCCATAAAAGTTCCTGAAGTTCTCGGATCTTCCCTTAAGTTCCATAGACTTTTATGAAGTTCTCGAAAAGTTTCTGAAGATCTCTGTACTTGTATGAAGTTTTCGAAGATATTCTGAAATTTCAGATTTGTCTGAAGTTCTAATTATCGAAACTAATTCATAACTTCTTCAATAGTCTAGAGTTTCCTGATGTTTCTAAAACCACCCAAAATATTTCTCAATTTCCTTAAAATTCTGTAGACTGCCCTGAATATCTTAGTATTTTTTTTAAAGAACCCACCATTTTACTGGAATTGATTTAATTGCGTTTCCTTTAAGTTCAACAATTTTCCTTAACTTTTATAAAGTTTATAAAAGCTCACGAAACTTTGCCTTAATTCACTAATTTTCTCTGAAAAGCCTGGACATCCCAGAAGTTTTCTATGCTCACCTTAATTTCTCTAAAAATGATCAAATGTTCCGGTAAATTTTCTGGTACATATTTATAACTCCCTGAAGCTTCTTAAGTTTTCGGATCAATCATAGAATTATCGGAATATCCCATAATTCTAAGGAACTCCTTGTAAGTCGCTGCAAATTTCCTTAAGCTAATGTGATTTTTCTGATGTTATCTCATCGTCCTCGAAGTACTCGGAACTTCACTGAATAAAATGAATCAATCTAAAAATAAATAAATTTCTTAGAAGTTCTCTGGAATTTCTTGAGAATATCGGTGCTTGCTACAAGTTCTCGCCTTTTTTTTAATAATGGAACCTCGTTGATGTTATCTAATCAACTTTCGATTTTTTTTAGATCCTTAAATTTAAATTATATAACACCCTTGAAATACTCTCACATTTTCCGGATGATCCTATAATTTTTATTGCGTTCCAGAAATTTTCTCTGATCAATCCGAAGTTTCCGGAAATTCCGGTTTCTGCAATTACCTTGAATTTTTAGAACTGCCCTTTAATTCTCTGATCCGTCTTGATGTTCTCGGAGCTTCCCGAAAATTCTCAACTCTAGTGAAGATCTCGGTTCTGCTTTAAAATAAATAAATTTCTCGTAAACACCTTTAGGCATCCCCAAATATTTATGAAGTTTTCATGAATTTTCTGAAGGTCTTTGTAATGAATCTTTCGGAACATCTTGACGGTTCACGATTTTATTTCAGCACCAGAACTATCCTGAACTTGTCCAAACTCACGCTTATAGATGTTTAAACCAATTCAATAGTCTGGGCTAAAGTTTCGGGGACTTCCCCTTAAGATCTCTGGAATTCCCCCAAAGATCTCTAGATCTAGCTTTTCTGAGATCAATAGAACTTCATTATTCACATTTTTGTTAGTACGAAACGAAAGTGCTTAATAGGCCGGAAATGGGGTAGTTAACCCTATCTATTGAATACAACAAAAGTTCCGTGCGTTTTGTGCACGTAAATGCGTAATTTTGTCATCAGAAAACGAGGCGTTTTCGTGATGGCAAAAGTGGTTTCCCTAACACAGTCGCTGAATATGGATACCAAGCGCTGAGCATGCCAGACGGTACCAATCTTTATGCATTTTTGTGCAAATTTTAAGCCCCTCCTGTTAAGAGCATTATGCCAAAAAAAACCTTACCGAATTCTCTTAATAGAAGGGGCTTGAAATTTGCATCAAAAAGTATAAACATAGGTACCGTCCGGTAGGCTCCGATTCTGTGAATGATGTGTTTTCCCTAATAGTGGAAATGGCTCTAATGTTGGCCTATGGATCTAAGATTGGGCCCATCGCTAAAAATCAGCTATTTATCAATTTTATCCAGATGAACACCTCATTGGGACGGTACTAATGGATATTTTTGGTCGTTATTGAAAATTTAGTCGATTGCTGAATTTATGTATGGGCCCAAATTAGGGGCATTTAGGCCGACATTACATCCATTTCCCCTACATATTTCATTTCCGCACCGATATCATTTCCAAGAACATCGTGGAAAAATTTCCACAGTATTGTTCTTAACTAGCTTCTAAGCTTCCAACCCATCGGTCCTTTTCAGGACCGCAAATGGCTAATAAAAGAGAAGACTAAAAAGTAAGAGCTTCAATCCAAGACATATCGTCTAGGATTGGCTTGTACTACATGGATATCGACAGAGCACCTCACAAATTGCTTCCGAATTTCAACCTATCGAACTTTTTCACTGATAAGGAGTTACGAAATTTCTATACTTTTGCTGTGACATCATAACTATTAATCGTAATCCTACGTCAAATCTACGGTCGTGTCAACCTCTTACTTTTTTTCCAAGTATCTAGAACCTCAAAAATTTAAATTGTCAGATCCTGGAGCTTCGAATTTTTGTTTTGAGATCTTAGACTCAAACCAGTTTTAAGGATCATGGACTAATCAAAACATTTCAAGATCCTGCCAGTTCAAAAAATTATAAAGATCTTTATCTATGAAAAATATCAAAAATTCTAGACCTGGTCCTAAATTTTCAAAATAAATTAGGACTTACATAGGTATACAAAATACATTAAGGGTGCAATAAAATTCCCGGTTATATCCTGGTTTTTTCCCGGTTGTTCTGGATCCCCGGGTTGGGGGGTGGCCACAGCTATAGATAAAATTTTCATAAGATGAATTTGAAATTTACATTGACATTTTACATTGGGACTGCAGCTTCTATAGACAGGCTCAGTAATGTTTTTTTTTTTGTTTAAATGTTTGTTTAAATGTATGAACATTATTGAGGGGCAAAAGGATACTTTGTCCCTATTGAAAATCAGCAGCGAGAAACCCTATTTCACCGTAGACGAGCTGAAAGTTTTCACTTTTCGAAGACCATCCACATCTCATGAAATATTTTATCGATGCTGGTTACGTTTTGAACAAGGGAGATAAGAAACACTGAATCACCTACAAGTCAGTTGTCGAGTTGTTGAACCTCCAGCCAAATGAACTAAAGATTTGTCATAAAATTACGTTAACCCCTTTTGGATGTCAAAGATACTGCCCGTCAAAAGGTAAAATACACGGTACAGCTATTATCAAACTCCATCTCACAGGCAATCAGGGGTTAGGCGTGATAACATCTCAAGATGCTTTGATAACCAGTGATTTCCCGAAATTTGGCTTATTGCAAAGAACATGGTACAGGATTGAAATGAACTTAATTTTGGGTTGTTTTTCATTGCTGGGTAGGCGCCAAGTTTTTGCTGGAACGTAAGAGCCAAAGATTGGGAAGAAGTTAGCGCACAAATATATGTAGCGACTCCATTGGAAAAAATAGAAAACTTAATAATCGGAAATTACATTAGCGGACCTTTATCTTTTCCAATGAAGATCTTAAATTTAATTCGTTGTTAGCTTTAATTTAGATTGAATTTTAAGAAGTATTTTCGGTCAACCAAGAAATGGTACTACTACTAGCTTCTAGCTCAAAACTGCAGCATGAAATTGATCCCATGAACATTTCCAAAATGCCATCACATCATTAATCACTTACCCGCTTGTAGTCGAAGCAGTACGCCACATCCATCAGCGTGAACTCGTGAGGCAGAATCTCGTCCTCGTAGATGATGTCCACCTGGATGCGCTCGTTGTCCAGCTGCAGCCCATTCTTGGTGAGAATGAATTTGTACAAGTGGTGAATGGTGACCGCCGCCGGACAGCGCAGATACGTGATAGGAAGTTCCTGCTTCTTCGGGTCGTAGTCCGCTATCGAGTCGTAGTGGTACTCCAGCGACAAGCTGTGCAATGGAATTGGAAAAAGAAATCGATTACTTCATCATCGTCGGGGCTCGGTCGCAACGAAACCTACTTGATTAATTCATCCGGCGAGAAAAAGTTCTGATCGTCCAGATAGTTGTGGTCCGGAGGTTTCCGACTGCCGCCGGTTGGCTCATCCGGACTGCTGCTGCTGCTGCTGCACTGGTCGGCGTAGAATTTGGCCGCCCGTTGATTCTCCGACTGGTGCAGTCCCGGGACCAGCTTGTACACCAGAGATCTCAGTATCCGATCCGGTCTGCAGAGGAGGATGAGAAAGAAAATCCATGAAGATGATATGCCGCAAGCGACGAAAGTGAGGAAACAGCGAGAGATTGAATATTAATTTTGAACCGCTCAAGTATTCATCATTTTGACAGTCGTTAAGCAGCTTGGCAGACGGTTTTGGGGGAGGGGAGAGTTGCAGACGGTTTCTGTTTTCGGCTTCTCTCTTGCCGTCCTTATTGCTGGCCGGAGGCAGGCATATTCCCCTCCCCTTATTAGCGATTTTCAGGCAAAAAGTCAAGTGTGGAAATTACCTTAAATTAGCCACCGTGATCGTTTTGTTGTTGTACGATTTGCATTTGGGACAGTATTTATTGCGTTCCAAGTGTCGTACTATGCAGGACCGGCAAACTGTGGAGAAAGAGAAGAGAAAAATAGAAGGGTGTGAGCTAAGAGGACACAGCAGAAGAAAAAAAACGGTCGAGGATTAGCATATGGTTGGCAGTAGTGCCACATGAGTCGTCGTCGTCGTCGTCGTCGTTGGAAAAAATGGGCGAGTGAAAACTGCACCAATATGGGCGACAAAAAATGAAGGAAAAAGTTTCGGTTCAGATCCTGACAAGGTTCTCCCCTTTTTTCTGTTCTACTACTCTGGAACTGACGGGTCCGATCCCCCTCGAGGGAGTGTTCAAGGCAGGGCTGAACTTCCATCCATGGTGTTTTAAGTTTAATGGCTGTCCTGGAGTCCATCCCTGCAACCAGTCCAGAATGCCAACTTCGGTACTGCGCCAAGTGGGAAGTAATTATTTAACTGAATTTATGGCCGCAGTCAAGCATTCGGAGTGCACTTTTTTCGCCGACTCTCTTTTCACCCGGAGACTGAGTGTCAGTTTCGTCGTATAAGCAATTCAGCGGAAAAAAAATCTTCACCGGCGGCGGTTCGCTGTTCGCTGGACGGTGGTGATTCAAATTGTGTTTGCCAAATTTATTATTGACTTAATCCTGAATTTATGCTACCTACTTGAAGTTTTGTCCTTGTCCGGAATGGGTGCAAAAGACGGAACTGGTGGACCCCGACACGGTGCCATTGAATCAGGTTCCATTTTAGGCTGACCGTTTCGTTTCGGTTCGGAATGATTGGGATGAATTCAAACCATAACAGACAACAACAAAAAAAAACGGGAGAAGGACACAAAAAGCCTAATGTTTATTTATGGTACCATTTGGAGCCGATTGGTTTGTTATTTTTTTGAGGTTATAAAGAAGATAAATAATAATTTGAAGGAGAAACGACCGGACAAGTGTCAATACGATCCAATTTGTCTGGCCAGGTGTTGAGCTGGGAGGGTGATGCGATGGCACACTTTAGTCAGTGAAAGTATGGTTTGGGCTGATCGCCGTCTGTTAGAATTGTATCTTTTCGGATAAGTCATAAAGTAGGTCCTGACCATCCAATATGGCAATAAATACAAGTGTTTGATCTTGTCTGGATGTTGAAATTCCGCATTTATTTTGGATATGGGAATTTACGTATTCTCGGCAACCTAAGCAGCGACCATCTTTCTATAGCCTTTTTCTTCAAGGAACGCACACATATGCAGTATTGGTTTGTTTACAATCTTTTGCTGCCAGCTGATGTAACAATTTCAGTCGAAAGAATTGTCGAAAACTGGTTTGAAACGCTTTTACAAAGCTCCAATCTTCTCTAGCGACTATTGTGGACAATATCTTTTTATTCGGCAACCTTTCTCAACTATAATCGTTTACCAAACAAATCTTACATCAATTCTGAATCAAAGGGTGTGAAACTAATTTAAATCCATCGATAAATGGTCAAGCTATACGCCTTTAAAACCTAACACTATTTTGTTGCACAATTTTTTGATTCGCACCCCAGTATAGTCCACAAAGACGTAGTCCTACGTAAAACATGGCTTTTTAGTGACAGACTTGAAAATAGTGACCTAGTCACTAAAAATTGACCTGCTACCAGCCCTGTAAGAATCAACTTTGCAGAAGACAACCCAAGTAACAATTTTGATTTTATGAGGGTTCTGTCAACCATGATTTGGAAATGTATTATGTTTTAAAACCTTGATAAAATTTGCGATGTTGCTTTCCTGAGAAAAACCTAAAAAAAATCTGTCGAAAAATGAGGAAAATTGACGAAAATTTTACTCAGTCCAGGAGTAGTACCAATAGCAGGGCTGGTAGCGATCACTGCTGTCAGAAATAGTGATTTTAGTGACCATGTTGAATAAATAAGTGACCAAATAGTGACTTAAAGTTGTAAAAATAGTGACTAAAAAGTGATCTAAGAGAAGGCACATCAAAAAAATGTTTGATATTTTAGACTTATTCAATTATTATCTCATAAACACTTATGTACGATATGAACCTTTAAAGCGAGAGATTCAATAGAAAGCTTATAACCAAACCCACGGTATTAGTCACGGTGTTTATTAACTTAAAAAATCTGGAAAAATCGAAATCTTCAGGATTTTTTTTTGTTTCCTTAAAATACCTGGAAGTCTCAAAGAATTTTAAAAAATCTTACTAAGGATAATTTAAAGAAAATAATGAAATTTAAAATACTACCATTTATTTTTTCTCTTTATTTTCATTCACACTTTGAACATTTAAGATTCACAGTGGATTAATCTTCAGTAAGAAATAAATTTTAATAAATTTTTTTTTTTTTTTTTCTGAAGAGCACTGCCTTTCTGTAAAGTTTCCGAAGTTTTTCTAAATTTATGGAACTTTTGTGCTCCCCAAATTTTCATGGAATTAGAACGAAATAATTAATATATTTCTATGATTTTCACTGAAGTTCTCAAGATTTTTCTGAAGTTCATAAAACTTCCCTTTATTATCGACACTAATTTTGAACTTCTTCAATAGTTTAGAGTTTCCTGGTGCCTAAACGATTACTAAATTTCTTTAAAGTTGTATAGACTGCCCTGAATTTATCGGCATTTTTTAAGAACCCGCAAGTTTGAAGTTTCGAAAATGTCCCTTAAGTATTATAGCTATTATTAACACTCGCTTTTCCCTGAACTTATCTATGCTTACCTGAAGTTCTCTAAATTTGTTTAATAATCCATTAAATTTTCTGATACATATTCATAATTCCCTGACGCGTCTGACGTTTAAGGATCAATCATAGAATTCTTGGAATATCCTATAACACCACGGAACTCCTTGTAAGTCGCTGCAAATTTGCTTAAGTTAATGGGATTATTCTGAAGCTATCTGATCGTTCTCGTAATACTCGGAACTTCGCTGAATATCATTAAACTATCTAAAAATATCTAAATTTAGTTCTCTCGAACTTCTGGAAGATATTGCTGCTTGCTAAAAGTTCTCGTTTTTTTTTAATTAATGGAATGTATGTGAAGTGTATGTTCTCTAATCAACTTAGCTAAATTTTCGCATTTTTTAAGTTCTTGAAATCTTCATGATATAACACCCTTAAAATATTCTCACGATCACGTCACGGATGTTCATAAAATTTCCAGAAATTCTCTCGGAGCTTTGCTGAAGTTTTCGGAAATTCACTGAGCTTCTCGAAACTTCTTTAAGGTTTCTAATATTTCCTTGAAATTATATGAACGGCCCTTTGATTCTTTGACCTGCCTTGATGTTCTCGAAGCGTCCATAAAGCTCTTAGTTCCAAGGGTGCAAATACTCATTTCAGCTAAAACAATGTTTTTTTTTATTATGAAATAATTAGATGCTATGATCATATTTTGAATAGGTAAGATACAAGAGGTTGCAAAGAATGTATTTAACATATTAAACCTGTTTATTTCACTTCATGAGTGTCACAATCAGTTATTTTTCACACACTCACTCACTCACTCACTCACTCACTCACTCACTCAGCGATCAGCAAATCGTTTATTGTGACTCATAGAAAGCAAAATTTACAGGTTTTATGTTTCAAACGCATACTTTGTAACCTCTTATTGTAAGTTACAAGTAAAACATACCATCTTTTGGTTTTATTATTCAGAAAAACATTATTTTAGCTGAAATGAGTATTTGCAACCTTGCTTAGTTCTATTGAAGATCGCGGTTCTGTTCGGAAATAAATAGAATTCCCGCAAACACCTTTAAGTTTCCCTAAAATTCTCTGAACTTCTGTGAAGTTTCTGAAATAGTTCTGAAGTTTTCATAAATTCTCTGAAGGTCTCTGTACTTCCCTGAAATTCGCGGAACATGATATGATATGATATATATATGATATATATGATATAAACATCAATACGGCCAGGCCTACTGCGTTGTATTTGCCGCAAAGATGATTCTTGGAAATGAACGGGAACATTTCTTGAATCTACAGGGGTGGAAGGATGCGTGGACATACCGTACCAAACACTCCGGGTTACTATGCGTAGACATATTTCTGATCGATTGGTGATAAAGTTATTGAAATGTGTCCAGGGGCAGCAGAGTTATTAACATTCAAAATCTTTCATAATTTTGTTACATGTTTCAGTTTCGGTTTCCACAAAGTGTACCCCCATATAGAAATCACAGACGTAGTCCTACGTCAAAAAATCCAAATTTCACAACACTGCTTCACGTAGAATAGTGAAGACGCTCAAAAGTAAAAGTACACCGCCTCGGCTGCAGTATCGATGATACCGACCTGGAATTATCCTTAGCTCGGCCGTAAAAGTCTGCACTCGCGACCTTCTATAGAAAAAAAGCGACGAAAAAAAACATAGACGAACAATTTGATAACCGGAAAATTTTCACGTCCGTGTAGAAGCAGGGCACACTTAGATCAAATTGTCAGAAAAATGAGTAGACATCCTGTATATAGAGAAAGACGATTAAACGGCACGACTTAAATAATAATCAATCTTGAAATAAATTCACGCTAAAAAAGTTTAAAATAGTGACTTATTACAAGAAAAAGTGACTTTAGTGACTTGGCCTTAAAAAAGAGACTTTTTAGTGACTGACTTGAAAAAAGTGACCATGTCACTAAAAAGTTACTCACTACCAACTACCGCTAGGCTAAGTGAATCCAATTTTTACTTTTGTCATATTCGGAAAGTTTTTCCCGGATAAACTTGGAAAAACCTGGAAAATCATTAGGCAAATTAACTCATCGCTGAGTTCCTGCACTTTATATGATTTATTAGCTAACTTAACTCAAATTTGGGTCGATCTCATTCGCCGTGCACCAAACCCATTAACGAACAACGTTTTCAGGCATCATCTGTTTTCAATTTACTCGACATCCCAAAACAAACAACTACCCATCACTCTTACAAAACACACTCACACACACACACATAGTCATACCTACACAACCCACTCTACCGAAATCCCATATAAGCGGAAACCTCTGTCAAAACTAATCAACGGAAAAGTGTGATAATCATCAAGCGCGTTAA